GGACTATTTCTTTAGGGGGAGTCTTTCGCATGTACATCACAATCTTCTTTTTGCTAAAGCAAAAATCTTTTTACAGAATTTATTTGGGGGGCTAGACCCCCCCCCCCCCCCCCCCCCCCACCCCCCCCCCCCCCCCCCCCCCCCCCCCCCCCCCCCCCCCCCCCCCCCCCCCCCCCCGGAGAACCGCGCCTGGTGTGGTCAAAATACAAAGAATACAAATTACAAAAAGCACACACATGTCAGTGTTATACGGGTATAAAAAAAAACAAAACAAACAAACAAACAAAAAACAAAAAGCTTCCGGTCTGGTGACGTCATCAATCTTTCTCCCACTCAACTTTACTTAGCATGAAGCTGCTTATATACATGTACAATGTACATCACTATAAAGTGATTTCAGAAAACTTCCCCAGACACAAAAAATCATTATTGGTTTTAAACGTTTTTCAACCTGCCGCTAGAGGGGGCTCTTACCTGTAATTACATCATCGGTATTTTTTTGTGTGAAGTACAACATAGCCAACAATGCAGAAAAGCCAAATATCAGCACAAGTGAGACAAAACGAAAGGTTTTTCTGCAACTATTACAAAAATACTGCAAGTGAGACTTGCGCAATGCCCCTGCTATGCTGGCAGTTTTTTTAAAAATAAAATCAGTGTCCCTAACCAAAATGGAAGATGTCTATTGTTTTAGAATAGTGACCTTGACCCTTGACCTGTCGGTCCCAAAATCAATAGGCCCCTTAAGACTTTCAACAACCCTCAAACCAAATTTCTATTCCCTAAGTAAAGTATTTCTCAAGTCATTGCATTGACAAGTTTTCTATTGTTTCAGCAATAGTGACCTTGACCTTTGACCTGTCGGCCCCAAAATCAATAGGTTTCTAAAGACTATCAACAACCCATCAACCAAATTTCCATTTGGAGTTCCGAAGTGAATACGTCACGCGCACAAAATGTGTGTAAAAGACATTAGCGCGTGATTCAGCCCGTGAACCAACATGCGTGCGTACACCATTTGTTTGCACTACACTTTTGGTTCTAAATGACGTCACACTTTGGTACTCCATAGGTTTCTTAAGACTACCAAGAACAACCCACAAACCAAATTTCAAGTTCCTTTTAAAGTAAAGTATTTCTCAAGTTATCACGTTGACAAGATTTCTATTGTGTTAGCAATAGTGCCCTTCACCTTTGACTTGATGGCCCCAAAATCTATAGGCTTGTTAAGACTATCAAGAACAACCCACAAACCAAACTTTACATTCCTAAGGCCAAACAAAAAAAATGGTGTGTTTACGGTAACCCGACCGACCTGGAATTTTTTCGGCCAAATTGCCGACCTCAAACTCTTTATTGCCATTTTGAAGGTTGATATTGATCATTTTTAATGAACAAATTTCAAAAATTTCAAGTACTTTTAATTATTTGCCATGAACATAGACCATTTTCCACACTTGAAACTGACCATGATTTGACACAAAGATACCTGTGTTAAACGTGCGAAAATCGCGACGATCTCAAAACTTGAATTCTCAAACTACATGAAGTACGATTATCTTTGCACAAACGCATCGGGGTGAACTGGTGCGCCTGGCCGACGGATGGCATGGTTCTCCCCACGTACAAACGTGCGTACTGCGAATCGGCCCGACAAAAATGCCGATCACATTTTTCAGCCCCCGTTACGCACAATATAATTATTATTCACGCCATTAAAATGCACAATATAATTGTTACATACCCAATTATTTCATCTTGACATGCAAAATCTTGACAAAAATCCTGTTTTTCTGATGCATGTGTGATCAAAATGCACACGATGACGGGTTCTGTCGACCGCCAGCTGACAGGCATGCAGCGCATACAGCATGGTACACTGGTCCCTTCGCGTACTAACGGAATCAATACTATAATGAAGGACCGGAACCAGTGACTACTGCCTGTACAAACATTGTAGCACAATGATGTTGAGCCGTCGGCTGAAGTTGGATCGTAAAATACCAAACAAACATCGGTGGAGAAAGAGAATTTCTGCGAATTAATTCACAGAACGTGATCTTTATTTTCTATGTATGTGTTTTCCATTAAAATGACGAGATTGCAAAGCTCGAACTTGTGGCGTAACATCGTAACGTGTTTCTGCAGTAGTGCAAGATTTTCGGCCACGTGGGATGGGCCGTACACAGTGCAGTAATGCACACTGACACTGCGCCGTGTGCATGGCGCGATGTACGGCCGGCCAGACTGAATGTCGGCGGCGCCAGCGGCCGTGATGTATGTTAAGCATAAAGTGGAATCACCCACCTTTAAAAATATTTTTTATTAGGTGAGGCAAGTTTTAATCACTTTTGATGGCCAGTCTTGACAATTTTCGTGGCGCAAATGAAAATAATCCAGGCACAAAATAAACATGATTCCTTGCTCTATGATGCTCCATTAATCAGCACCCCAAAAAAATTGGCGAAATAATTTTTCCGACCTATTGACGCTATTTTGAAAGGCATGTAATCGGAAGCAAAATGATTTTTTTCTTCACCTTAATTTCTTAATTTGAAACTTACTTTTTAATGTAATTTTGATTTTTTTCTTTAATTACAAAAATAGGGGTCTACAAGATCTTCTATCAAAAATTTTCAGGACTTTTAAAAAGCGGGCCCCGAACCCCACGCCATGGCTTCGCAGGTTGTTGAATCACAGCAAAACTTCCCCCACAGGTTTGAAAAAATCCTGGGGAGAACCCTGGGACGGTACGAATTAATTTGGAATGAAATGTATCGATTGAGTAGCGAAAGAACACGCATGAGCCTGCAGAACTGAAATAAAAAAAAAAAAAATACAAAATAAAATTATTTCCCTACCTACCTGGATTTTTTTCAGACCGTTACCGTAAACACACCATTTTTTTTGTTTGGCCTAAGTAAAGTATTTCTCAAGTTATCGTGCTGACAAGAGTTAACCTAACCAATACATAACACACACACACGCACTCACACACCCTTGCACAGGCATAGAATTTTGCAATGTCGCACACTTATTTCAAAATGTTATTATTTTAACAAGAATGAATTTCCTGGGCTGCAATTCGGACTTATATCCCTTTTTCTAAAACTCTTCCATTTACAATGGATCAACCCACCTTGGAAATTCCTAGTTTTTGAGTAAAATCCATATATCCATTTTGTGAAAAACTTGTGGGTAATGATGTGGACGAGGCCAAACCGACCCGAAACATTAGAGATTATAAACCGAATCCAAACCAAAACCGATCTTTACTCCCTCAAACCGACCTAACCCGACCCGACAAAAAATAAGGTAAAACCGACCCGAACCGACCCGACCCGAAAAAACCCCCGAATACCCTTGCTTTGACAAAGTGATCCCTTTTTTTTGTGCCTGCCCTTACCCACGTGGCATGAATTTGTTTGCAAAACCATGTCTCTCCAGAGCTCTCTGTCATACTCAGTGGGTTGATCGAGAGTAACTCCGCTTACTGAACAAATGCATGGTATCATCACGCGGTATCATGAAAACTGTTACTATGTATCTATTTCACTGTCAGTCCCATCCGACTGGAGAAATTAATACAGTGGGAACTTGATAGTGCACTCGGTGGCCACACCACACAATGGGCTGCGGTCACAGTGACTGTCAATAATATTGTATCACCTAAATTTCTCAACTGTTTCGATTTATTTCGGTTTATTTCGGGGTTTTCAAAAGATGGCTAAACCGACCCGACCCGACCTGAAAATGAAAATGCAAAACCGAAACCGACCCGACCCGACCGAAAAGATGGACAAATCGACCCGACCCGACCCGAAGTCGGTTTCGGGACCCGAAGTCGGTTTCGGGTCGGGTCGGTTTCGGTTTCGGGTCGGGTTTGCACATCAATACTTGTGGGGTACCAAAACGGTACCCCGCAAGTCGGTGGGCATTCCTTGTGGGGTACCTCCCATTGTTCCGGCACCCCATAAGGCAGTGTTTATACGTTCACCCAAACGTGTGTTCACCGTCGATCGTGGACGTCCTATATTGTCCCTCTTTTGTTTGTACCAACATTTTAGGAAGACTTCCATATGTTTAGTACACGACCCCAATCGCAGACGTATGCTTCTCTGGTATTTTTCGTCCACGGTTTGAAAAGATGAACATGTACACCCATGTTTGTTTATGGTGTGAATCGAAGATTTTCTTTTTTTCCTCTTCCCTTTTCTTTGTACGCCTAACTTTTTCGCAACAGCTCTCATTGGTTTGTACACGGTTTCTATTAAATTGAGGTCGTCCTCGATTTGGTTCCTGTCCTCAATTCACCAATGATGTTGCACGTGTGTGTCCTCGATTTACATCGCAAACAAATGCAGACATACGCACAGACATACAAACAGAAGGAATACGCTATCACAATATCCCCCTCCAGCTTACAGCCAGGGGGATAAAAACAAAAACAAAAAAATAAATCAGACAAAATTTCCAGTCCAACCAACTTTGCTAAATTGAATGATTGTGTGTGACAAACAGGAATGACAAAATTGAACACATTCGTAAAGGAATTTGAATGCCTCAAAACAAAATTGAATTCTGAATATGAAAAACAGTAAAAACTGAAGAGGCAAATCACTTTAACTTAAACGCGCAAAACTTAAATTGGCTGCTAATTTGCTGAAATTGATCGAGAAAATCTATACACCACCATTTTTTACATACCTGTACACATCTACATGTACCTTGTGCATTCGTACAAAGTTCAACCAAATTGGATTCGTAATTCTCTGTAGATAGTAAAGTCAACAAAATCTATGTACAATTCAATCCTAAATATTGTTGATTGCCAAACTTTTAAAAATCTTACAAAACTTTCTTGCATACTTAAATTATTCCTTTCGCACAGGGATTGGACATTTATATTGGGACATGAAAAGATGGCAAAATGCAGCGAGGATAACTCCCAACTAGGGTAGTGTTGGATTGTATTATTGTTGCAACTTGTACCAACGTACCTCTCCCAAGATGTCTGCAGATAAGTGCTTGAGCTAGCATCATTTGGCCACATCGTAACATACAGCCCCAGCCCTGATCTGTCGTGGGGCCTGTTCCACCTTCAAAACAAAGAAAGAATGATGTGTTGACAAACACAAATGCCCCACTAAGCCAAGATTTTAGATCCAACGACTGAGTTATACAGCATGCATACCAGTACAAACACAAAATTGAGATCACAAATGTATATATCTAAAAACATACCTCTATTTTGATTGGAGTTGATAAGCAACTAATTCTCAATAAACGGGGGAAAGTTCTGAACTTTTTCCCCCTGTAATTACCTTAACCTTTCATTCTCTTGTTTTATTCAAATCCAGGGTTCATGCCTAATAGCCCATTAACAATGATTGGGGCACAAATGCCAATATCATTAACACTTGCTGATGCCACCGGTAGGCATAAGCATGGGACACAATTGTGACCACAATACCAAGGGCTAATAAGATCACGCAAGGCCTGGTAGGAACCAACATGGCACAGCACGATCATACCCATGGGCACAAGGTATGCTGACAACACTTGTCAAAATGACAAGCCTTCCCAGTGTAGCAAGATCCATCAGGTCAAAAACTTCTAGGCCAAAATTCCTCAGAGTTTTGGTCACCAACTGCAGTATGATCCAATTAGTGTTTGATTGTTAAATGGGATTAGCTTTCATTGTCTTAGTGTATGGAATGCTAAAGAGGCATGTAATGCGATCATCGAATCGGTGATGCACTTTAGCAAGCAGTGATGCATATTCATCATCTGTAATGGACTTTCACGACTGGTGATCAACTTTGCACCGGTGATGCATATATTCAAAATTGGTGAGTGTCTTTTTATTCGGTGATGGTGATCATATTGGTGATGAACTTTCACAGTCGATGATAAACTTTGCAATCGGTGATGGACTTTCATGACCCTTGATCAACGGTGAAATTGGTGATGGACTTCTGCAATCATTAATCAACTTTGCAATCGGTGATGGTCTTTTGCAATCGCTGATCAACTTTGCAATTGGTGATGCGCTTTCACAGTCAATGATCAACTTTGCTATCACTGATGGACTTTCACAAAAATAGTGGATGAAAATATCCCCATCAAAAAAACCCTTTCCTTTATTTGTTGTGGTATTTTGGGGGCGGCTGGTGTCTTTCTAGGCTTTTTGTTGATTTTGCTTGCTGGTTGCCGCTGCTGGTGATAAGCTAAGCTGGTTATAGTATGCAGAATCACATGTATTTACAATATATTTTAAGGAGGCTATCAGAGCATATTTTCTGTGAATTCGTTTCTGCACTTCACCCATCAACTTAAAAAAATATTTTTTTAATTTTTTTTTAGAAATCAATCTGTAAATTAATCATCCCCTAAAACCAAACTTTGAAATCAACTAAAGAATAATCACAGGTTTTTCAACTATCAATTTATGAAGTGAAATTAAAAACAGTTATAATACTTGAGCAAAAAGAATGAAAAACAAGAAGCGCTAAATAAATGTTGGCACATTTTCAATGGTAACAATAACTACTTTAACAAATATTGACAACTAATACAAAGTTTTAGAAATGGACTCTTCATTGCATATATAATTTCTAACAAATCAGTGGATGACCAGTGTGATGAGTGCTAATAATTAAAAGCAACATTTAAGGCCCCCAAAAATAGTCGGTCTCCGGTCAGCGCGCGCGTCGATTTTAATCATGCGGGTCAATTTTTTTTGTTTCAAATTTTCCGCGGTAGCTACAACAACGATCTCTATTGCCGCACCACCTCAAATTGTTGTACCAAAGAGCACCAAGGAATGGTGAAATTGCACAAAGGCAAATGATGGAGGTCACCAAAGTATATGAAGACACAACAAAAGCAAAATAGTATCCACCTTGTCTGTACAATCCAAGCTTGGAAAAAAAAAGCCGACTAAAAAAAAAAATAAAAAAAAAAAAAAAAAGGTGTCGCCGCATCAATTCCGGAACTTTCGTCCGACACCAGAGACCGACTATTTTGTTTTTGGCCTAAAACCGATTGCAAAACTGATCAATGGTTATGAAAGTCCACCACTGATTGCAAAGTTGATCATCGACTGTGGAAGTCCATCACCATTGAACAATTTGATCACCAATCAAGAATATTCATCAACAATAAATAAGACCATCACCGATTGCAAAGTTGATCACAGATCACAAAAGACCATCACCAATTACAACGTTGATCACCATGGGCGTCGCCAGGATTATTCCTAGAGGGGGCGAAGCACTTTTTTCCCCGAAATCCCTGTACTTTTCCCAGCATATTCTCGATTTTCATTTTTCGAGGGGGCAGGGACATTTGGCCCCCCCCCCACCCTATTAAATTAACAGCAATATGACTTCTCTTTCTTTTTCCCCCCTTTTTTTAAACTCCTTTTTTGGGGTTTTATTTTGGTTTGCTTTTCCAGGGCGGGGGGGGGGGGGGGGGGGGGGGGGGGGACAACCCCCTTGCGACACACATGTTGATCACCGATCGCAAAAGTCCATCACCGGTTACAAAGTTGATCACTGATTGCGAATGTCCATCACCGACTGCAAAGTTAATCACCGGTCGCAAAAGTCCATCACTGATCATGAATTTGCTTCACCGGTGCAAAGCTTATTACCAGGCGTGAAAGTCTATCAGCAATTTGATGATCACATTAAAAACCCCTTTGGCATTCCATTCACATGTGGCTGTTTATGGACATATTACTGTGTTGTGTCCGACAGGGTTAGGGTAACATGTCAGTCAAGAACACAAAGATATGACAGGTACCAGTACTTGTAGTACCTATATTGGGAAATCCTTTGCGATATGTCATCCACAGTCTGGAGCGTACATCTCTTTTTGCCTCCATCCGTTGTCTCTTCATATCATACTTCCTGCCCATGATCCATACAGGGCCTTTGTCAGTTGGAAAATCTTCAATAGACACCATTCCACTTTCATACGTAACACATGCTGTAATGAATAAAAACCATCACTGAAAATTAAAGATACCAAATTGACGTCAAACTATATTTTATGACCATGTTTTACATGTATATCACAAATTTGTGACATGCTACAAGTTTGTTCATTATGAGAGGAAAACATTCATGTTGCAAGAATTGACGGGCAAGAACAAAAGGGTTGGGAAAATAACGTAGTGTAGAATATTTGGATGGGCAATGCCACGAAAAAGTGGACATGGCTAAAAAGTTGAACATTTGTGAATTCTTCAGAACTACAAGCTTCACAACTTCAAATGTGGTATCACATTAAAGGGGATAACACAACCTTTTATTTTCAGAGTCACTTTGGCACCTTGTTTGTACAGGCAAAATGCAATCTGTGATTGTAAGTTTCTTTTTTTAAGGCAGAGAAATGTTAATTTTTAAGCCAAAAGATTTTTGGTTGGGTCATTTGATTCTTATATGTATGTTTAAACTTGCACCAAAGATGGGCAGACAAACCATGCAAACTCTAACGTGAGTTACCTTAAGATATCCCTGTAGATATTTCTTGCTTGATTTGATATTTTTTGAAATTATTGTTATAGCAGCATATGACTTGCACCCTAATGATTTAAGAGCACTAAAGAGCACTATTGTGAACAGCATGAGGAAACTGTCAAAGGTAAAGTATGTACATTGTAAGTTGTTGCCATGTCCTTTTTTAAAAGCATATTGCCAAACGTTCAGAAGATTATTTTGTTGGCCTCCTTTGTGTAGTCTTGTCACGTAATTTCTGTGGGATCTTCTGTGAATATGCTTTGACATTAGTTTATAGACTAACAGCACAGAGTTGACAGAATTGATATCCAGGAATTATCTCTGTGGGACATTGTTTTCATTATAACTCCACATTTGTTGACCAAACCTTTTTGATATTCTTGATGCTTCTGAGACAACCATGTGTGACTTTTCCTCTTCATTATATATCCAGAAAATTTGTATTGCATTACTAATTCCAAACACCACCAGCTCTACTCAGTATAGCCTTGGTCAATGCTCTCATCGTTATTCGTCCCGTACGCGGTCAATCGTCGGCATATATCCTCACGCGCTATGCACATGCATGTAAAAATACAGCGCGAACAGCGACCTCATGCCGCCACTATTTTTTTATGCAAATCAGTTGGGGACGATCGAGAGCCTTGGTTCAATCGTCGGCAAAAGCTTATGTTTTTCTTTATTTTGCGCTGGATTTCTAGCGCGCGACCTCGTATGCGAATACAGATAAGTGTAGGCGGGGCTAATATGTGGAGTGTCCAATCACACCTTGGTAAATCCAGACGTCATCAAATTATTTGCAGCTATTCGCCTTTTGCGGACGTGACAGGAACCACAGTTTTTGTCAGAGTTGTAATGACTCGAGTCAATGACTCGACTCGAGTCCGACTTGAGTCACATTTTTTGGCGACTCGACTCGACTCGAGTCCCGACGGGTAAATGACTCGACTCGACTCGAGTCACTGCGAGCAAATGACTCGACTCGACTCGAGTCCCTCATCAGAATGACTCGACTCGACTCGAGGAAGGCTAATAAGACTCGAGTCCCAAAATAAAAGCAAAACTTACTTGCGAAAAATATTTGCAATGACTTACGCTGCGCCGTTCGCGTTGCCAGTTTTTGTTCACGTCACGTTAATGTTCGCTAATAATGTACGTTTATATACAGCGGCAGTCTGTTTCCTCCTCCATAATGAAACAACAAACATACACCGTGTCGCGGACTCCCACCTTGTGGTTCTATAGCATGTAATGCTAAACCCGGAACCAGACTTAAAACGCATTTCTCAATCCGTGGTTTCATCATTGGTTTCGGGCGATTTTGAAGTTCTTGGTGGAACGCTGGCTAAATTCATGTCCCGATTTCACACAAAAAATGGATACGGACGGGCCCACCTTTAAATAATCAGAAACAGTTTTGTATAATGCAATTAGGTTTTAACGTTGTCAGCGATCAGCGAACAACAAAATCTAGATCCGAAGCCAAGCCGGTTATAAGACCGAAGTTTCACATCTTCTTATCTGTGACGTGAGCTAGCAATGGAAACTGTGGTTGGGTACCATACAGCATACTTTATATCTTTGGATTTCCGTAATAGACTGGTGCCTTGTATTCTTTCTCTCTTGTGTTTGTTGCTTTTTATTGTAATTTAGTGTTCAAATATTTGTGACTCGAATTGACTCGAGCTAAATACTTGACTCGACTCGACTCGACTCGACCACACTCTGTGACTCGACTCGACTCGACTCGACCTTGTTGACCTAATGACTCGACTCGACTCGAGTCACTTCTTAAAAATGACTCGACTCGACTCGAGTCACAAAAATCAGTGACTCGTTACAACTCTGGTTTTTGTGCATTGGTGTCGTGTGCAGAGACACACAACGTGTACGTGTATGGATTATGTACGGTGCCACGTTTCACTATGCAAGTTTCCACGCAACGATCGACCAATAAGAAAACGACATTTAAGGTCAGCTAAGGATATTAACATAATGAGCACCACCCCCAAAACCTCACATGGACGATTGAACCAAGGCTCTCGATCGTCCCCAACTGATTTGCATATAAAAATAGTGGCCGCGTGAGGTCGCTGTTCGCGCTGTATTTTTACATGCATGTGCATAGCGTGTGATTATGCCGACGATTGACCGCGTACGGGACGAATAACGACGAGAGCATTGACCAAGGCTATACTCAGTACCCAAAACAAGAATCTCAAAGACGAAGACTCTAAACCTATACTTCCCAGACACAACTGCAACGAGAGTAGTGATCCTCATAAAAATGTGATCACCCATTAACCCCTTCTATGTAAACATTCAGTCAAAATCAAACAAACAAGTGACTGTTTTCAACAGTTAAGAATTCCCAGCATACATAAAGCAGGAATGTCTGGCTGGGCTGGTTAAGTAGCTTGATACAGCTGTGCTTTAATTGACTCCCGGTGAGTGATAAAACAGCTGTGACGACAACTTGCTTGCTTTGTCTATTGACCCAGTTTGACTAGTCACAGTGCTTGCTTGACATATGATCTGACTGCTGGTGACTAGCCTTTGGTAAAAGTATAGCAGGAGAAATGGAAGTGAATTTTGACTCTCTGTGACTGTTTAAATAGCAGGAGGGTTAAAAAGCACCTTTTTTTTCCAGAGTTTTTGAAGTCATGATTTGTTCCCCCCAAAATGACACTTTCTTGACTTACATGGCATTTTTTTATATTTCCATACATTTATTGTTATGTGTCATTGCCTCAAACATGTAGTTTACCCAAGAATAACAATGAAGTTATTAATTAGATACATGCAATTTCTTTTTCCCATGAGGCAGACTGGTTCAATCCTGTCAAAACATCAAACTAAAATTAATGTACATGTACTCGTATGTCATTAAGCTTTTTTCATAAGCAAAATGTAACCTCCAGTGACATATTTTTTCAAATCATTTCGAACAACTTGTAACCTAGCCCAGGTTGGACGAAGTCTTCATTGCATTACGTAGGGAGGAAAGGGAGTCCACCTGGGCTACTTGTAACCAAGACAAGAGCATTATTTCACTACGGGAATAAATGTAAGCTTGGGAGGTGTTAAACTCTATGTTTTAGACTGGTTGGAGTCTGGAATGCTGTTTAATAATAGTGTTTAATACCGACCAAGCACATATTTATTTCCATTCATACATATCTTTTCGGTCAACAAATCAAAACTTTTCGGTCCAAAAGTCAGAAGTTAAAACTTTCCAACGATTTTGTTCAACAATTCAACTTTCCGTTTTTTGAAACACCCCTCTTGTTATTTAATGGACTGTCAAGCTCGCAAGTAAGACACAAACAACTCCTTTTTTTGGTGCGCGCGTACTGCGCGACGACGCACAGATGCAGCTCTGGTGATATGAGTGTGTTGTGAATTTAGAACAATTAAATACTGACTCACTGGTGTATTACACATGACAACGTGAGGACTGTGAACGTTCAACCATTAAATTGGTACAAGGCCCTGAATTTCAGGAGTCCAATGTTCATGTGACACTGGAAAATTGTTTGAGACCAGCCAGCTATGTCTTTATCATCTGTTTAAAACTGGCCACGTGACAGGCTCTCGAAACAATAGGAATAGGTAAACTGTATTATGAATTAGAAATAAAGGGGACTGTTTTCCCAATGTAACTATATCACATGAGGGCGATCGTGACGCATAGCTGCCATTGCGTACCAGCCTCACCTCCATGGGCACGTGCGCGTTCCTCCAACCCCTGGCCATGGGGGAATACAGATTTTGTCCCATGGCATAATAGTACAATATAATAGTGCGCAACCATACAGTCTGAGCGAATCCATTTGTACATGAAACAGCCGTCGTATCACAATTCTCGGGCCTGAGTGACAAGATTGATTTGCATCAATTTAACGTCACAGCTTTGGGGTCAATACGTCTTACATTCAAAATAGCTGTCATTAAAAGACAATTTTCGGGTGCATATGGGTTCCAGAAAGATGCCTAAATTTCTCAAAAATGTTGATAAGGACGACTTAACAACCCGGAGGAAAGAAGCTGAGACATCATAGAATGCAACCGTATGTAAAAGAATTTGCAATTTTTTTGGACAAACTCCTCCGTTCGCTCGTACCCACCAGGAAGCTGGGAAGGGTTGATGAGCTTCATAGAATCTTGTGAAGGAAGTGGGGATGGCATTCTGGGTAATTTATCATGACCTATGCATAAAGCATCTGGCTGCAGCTGTTCAAAGACCGCAGACCGTGTGGACAAATTTTGAGCGTCGCATAATGCAATCATTGACCCTTCATGAATTTGAAATGGAGCCTCAGCAAGTGACAGAAATTGAAAATTTACAGCACAGATAGGTTAACAGATTTTCCTAGTACGCTTTTCAACGAAAAAGAGCATTTACGAATAGGAATAAAAGAGTAATGAATCAGTCTAAGTTAACGACCAATTAAAACCTTTTTCCCT